AAAAAAAAAAAAAGAAAAAACAAAATAATTGGTAAATGGGTCTGAGGTATAGAGCTGGATTGATCCTTTTTTGATAGTCGTGGAGAAGGACTATGGCTAGAACTATAGAAATAACATATTTACTAGAAGAATGTGCTCGAGACATCAGTGGAATTTTTTATTTTTCAGCCTACAACACAGCAGTCCCCTCAGGATGAGCAGGAAAAGCTCTTGGATGAAGCCATACAGGCTGTAAAGGTCCAGTCATTCCAAATGAAGAGATGCCTGGTAAGAATGGAAATGTGGGAGGCAAGGCTGCAGTTCGTGTGTTCCTAAGGAAGCATGTGCAGTGTTTTCTAGAGTTAGGTGGCACCACTGTTTCTGGTAAATCTAATCTTCACTGTCCACCAGCATCTATCTTCAGTCTCATCTTCCTCAAGCACTGTGTGGAGCAATTTCAACAAAGAGGCCTGTTTACTCACATGTATATTTATGGTTTGGGATTGTCTGTCTTCCCTACTAGAATACATGCTCATAAGAGCAAGAGGCTTTTCCTTTTATTTACGCATTACTGTAATATTACCACACCAGTGTCTGACCAGAATTACTAGCCTCCTTGGTTCTATACCTCGGACCTGAGGAGTACTTAACGTATAACAGGTACTCTGTAAATGTTTGTTGAATGAATGAATTTAAATGCTTTGCATTTGAATTATTCAGCTTTTTTTCTAAATATCTTGAAAACTTTAATTTCTTTCCTGAATAGATATATTTATTATAGAAGATAGCTTAAAAATTAGACTTAACACTTATTTATATATTTTCATATTCTAAAAGATAAAGTAAGAGAGAATCTGTGTAGATACTGTAGATTCTCTGGATTAAAAGATAAGGAATTGAGCCAAATTGGTTGGTACTTCAAGCTATAAATTACTGTGATGAAGATGATGCTGTCTTACCTTTGTAAAATGTCTTACTGTGTTTTCCAAAGCACAGTAATATGCTCTTGTATCTTTTATTGGTTTCATTCCCAACAAGTTGGGAATGAAAAATAAATGTCTTGGAATGGAGAAGTTGGTTTTGCTATTGCTTGTTTCTTCCTCTTCCTGGGTATGGATAGTGTTTCCTCTATCTCAAGGAATTGCTTGCATTTCTGAGTTACGTGGAACATATGGGCATTGTGAGGGTTTGAAATATGTAAGAAGAAAGCAAACTTACATGAATAGTTATTTCAGACAGCTCTGAAGAGTCTTTAACCCATGACAAAGCCATGTCAGGATAGTATCTTCCTTCGCCTGAATCAGTATGCCAGTTCTTTTAATTGCAGGTAAAATGTGATGAATGGAGCTAGTTTCCTAGTCTCTATAGATTGAAAAGATTAACATTCTATCAAGAAGCTTGCTGTCTTAGCTATGTGAACTCTACTAAGTATCATGGATCTTTTTCTTTTTCAGTAGGGACGGCAAAGTGAACTGATCTAAGTTGATTTTTTTATGTGGTTAAAAATCATTTAAGTGCTGTACACTTTTAAAACTATGTAACAAGTCCTTGATGTAAGGAGTTTGTACAACCAAGATAAATGTTTATTTAAATTAAGCATTCTCATCTATTCTCTTGGTATTTCTGTAGGACAAAAACAAGCTTATGGATGCTCTAAAACATGCTTCTAATATGCTTGGTGAACTCCGGACTTCTATGTTATCACCAAAGAGCTACTATGAACTTTGTATCTTTTGAATGTTGAAGACATCTGGACCATACCTTTTTCTTGATAAGGATAATTTTGTTTGTTCTTTATGAAGTTTGTCTGGAGTTACTTCCTTATCTGAGTCACATGGCACTCCTCCATGCAGATGTGCTAAGTGAGAAAAACACTTGGAGAGTACTCCTTTCCTATGCCTCAATGTCTTTAAGTGTGTTGTCGGTGCATCTCAATTTTCAGACCCTTCATGAGGATATTCAGGCTATGACGCAGTTGGTTCTTTAATACTTAGATATTATTACGCAGCAGCCTCAAATGGACAGGAATTTTAATCATTTGCCATTTCAAAACCCATTAACAGTCTGACAGGTAACCGTTATATTTACTGCTTTGCTTCACCACACATGCTTTAAAACCCTTATTTTAAAGTAAGAAAAGCCCAACTAAAATTCTGCCTTCACTTGAACACTCTCTTAAAAGACTAAAACTTAAGATACCTGCCCAGTAGTTAATAATGACTCCACCAAGTTTCAATGACTCCACCAAGTTTCAAAGTTTTGCTTAGGTTGGCTTATCTTTATTTTTAGTCCTTAATCATAATTAAAAGATATGGCCATTTCTGATGAACTGCACTACTTGGAGGTCTACCTGACAGATGAGTTTGCTAAAGGAAGGAAAGTGGCAGATCTCTATGAACTTGTACAGTATGCTGGAAACATTATCCCAAGGCTGTAAGTAATAACAAATCAGAGGACTTTTGTGTCTGTATTTCCCACTTTATGTTATGTCCTTTATGATTATCAGCTTAAGAAAAAGTTTTAAGGGTAATTTCTTAACAAATAGAGATTAACATTTTGGTAGATACTCTCTTATTTGTTTTTAGAGTAACCAGATTTACGTTTTATGTAGATATTTGAGGAATTTTAGAAATAGAAAAAATGTACATGCTTGCTATTTTGTTTAATGTCTTGACTGTTAGAAAAATTAATATAATTGTTCTCTTCCTAATATGTTTAAAGGTAATATCTATGTTGTGTATGTACAGTATAAGTGTGTGTGTGTATGTATTTTTAGAGATCAGTGGTTATATTTTAAATCAGATATTTTCCTTGTCATGCAGGAGAAAACAACATGGTTCCTATCTTTATTTAATATTTTGTTCAATGTGTTTGGAAATAAGTTCTTGATTTGAATATTTTATTTATAATCAGCATTTCGTCATACTTCTCCTAGTTACCTTTTGATCACAGTTGGAGTTGTATATGTCAAGTCATTTCCTCAGTCCAGGAAGGATATTTTGAAAGATTTGGTAGAAATGTGCCGTGGTGTGCAGCATCCCTTGAGGGGTCTGTTTCTTCGAAATTACCTTCTTCAGTGTACCAGAAATATCTTACCTGATGAAGGAGAGCCAACAGAGTAAGTGACTTTCTTTCTTGATTTTGTTGCAGCATTTTTTTCATTGTAGAATGTATAAAAGCGTGGAAACATGTACAGAAAGTAAGTATGAATAATTCTTCCACCCAGTCAGCCATTTAGGTAGCATTTGTATGGAGATTTCCTTTGTAATATAGAACTCCTCAGTATATGTAGCATGCTCTACAATA